AAAGTACATGTTTAGCCCACCCATGGCACACACTTGGACGTTGGAGTTGCGGCTGAAGGCACAGAGGATGGCACTTGATGGTGCGACGAAGAGAACCTTGTTACAAACGGGTAGCCCGGCCTGGCCCATTATAAGTCGGTTTGGTTATAATTTTAGGTCTGCGGGCTAAGTCATGGGCGTAAAGCACTGGACCGAGCTTAGGCTTTATAAAAAAAGCTCGGCCTGAGCTCAAGCCCAAGTCCGATTTGATACTATATATTAAATAATAAAAATATATTTTATTTAATAAAAAATAAATACACAATATCACTATTTTCAAAATCAGATCGGATTGGATGGTCGGATCGGAAAATTTGGGAACCGGTCCATTTTCCTCTAAAACCACTTTTTCTCCCAAAATCGTTGATTTTGATCAGTAAACCGCTGAACCGATCGGTTAATCATTCGAACCATTCGAACGATTTTGACCGTTTTTTAATTTTTAATTTTTTTTATTTTTTTCATCAGAATGGGCCGACTGTTCGAATCGAATGATCAAACCGTTCAAACCGGTAACCGGACCCCTGACCAGTTCGATCACCGATTCATTTTTAAAAACCATGCACAATATTTTTGCTTTGTTCTTCTTCTCTTTTTCTCCAAGTAATATTAATATGTTTATTATTTTTGAGTTTTGAAGGTTTTTAATATAAATATAACACCTTTTATTGAATAAAAAAATTTTTTGGCTAAAGTCGGTCTTAAGCCCGAACTTCATGCTTTATATGAAGGCCGGACTCAGGCTCAAGACCTAGGCCCGATGGTTGGGCCGGGCTCGGGCTAGGGCCTGAGTGTATTTTGTTGATACATATACCAAGCCCGGACCGGCCCGGCCGACTACCCATTACTAACGTCGGCAGGGTATTCCACACATGAGAAGTGGCGGTCATTCGTTGGGTCTACTGCAAAGTCAATAGCTGTACGTGTACAGCAGATCCGGAGCCAGCTCTGGCTTCTGAGTTTAAATTGTGTGGTCGGAAGTGATGCAACGTGAGAACTCTTCTCCGCTTCAACATTCTACCTCTCCCTCCATTACTACTACTTTATAACTTCTTTTCTCTTCTTCTTTCAACACAAGATGGCCCTCCTGCAACCTTTTGTATCTGACAGTTTCCTGGCTAGAGCTCCTCCCCTGTTGCCTCTCCCTCAGAATCTCAACACTGCAACGAAGAGGGCAACAACAAAAACGGTTACTGCCGTTGAACGCCTGTTCTTATCTTCTCATACAAACCCAAAAAGATTGAAGCAAGGAAGGAGGGGTTTGATCAAGTCTTCCGCAGTGTCAGAGGTTGGAGGGGCGGTGTCTGTTGGTGAAAAGGAGGGTGGTGGAACAGAAGATGACGAGGTTCTTCTGGGGCCTAGATTTGGGGAGGAAGATAAGGTACTAGGGGTTTCTGTTGATTATGATTGGAGAGAAGAGTGGTATCCGCTCTATCTCACACAGAATGTCCCAGATGATGCTCCTCTTGGTCTCATTGTCTTTGACAAGCAGGTCGTATTGTATAAGGACGGGAATGGCATTCTTCGATGTTACGAAGACCGATGTCCTCATAGGTAATCAACCCAGACTTTTGATTCTCTGTTTTTTTTTTTCCTTCTCATCAGTTGGAGTTCGATGGTTTTTTGTTAAATTTGTCATTTGGGCAACAAATGATGAACTGGGTTGCTTCTATTTGAGTGATTCTGAGGTAGCTTAGTTAGAAATTGAGAGTATATAATCAACATTTGGGAGTTCTTCCCAGTTGGTTTGGCTCGTTTAGTATCTGATGCTCTGTTTGGGAAGAGTGCAAATACAAATATGTTCAATGCAAAAACCCATGTATATCGTATTTCTAAACCTTTGTATTTGCACTCTTAATGTATCACTTCAAAAGCTCCAAATTCTAACACCATGATCTTATGAGTTTTGGGTACTGAATGTCTTTAAATATTGAATATTCAGATTGGCAAAACTTTCTGAAGGTCAACTGATTGATGGGAAATTGGAATGCCTCTACCATGGTTGGCAATTTGAAGGTGATGGTAAATGTGTAAAGATACCTCAGGTCTGTCTTCATTTCTTCGTGTATGATATTCTCTCATTTCATTAAATTTTGGAAAGGAGAGCAATTAAACTTTAAACCCACTTTTTGGGAACACAACTATTTCTTCTCCAGCTTCCAGCAGGTGCAAGAATTCCTCAATCTGCTTGTCTCAAGACTTATGAGGTGAGAGACTCTCAAGGAGTTGTGTGGGCATGGATGTCAGACAAGAACCCACCTGACCCTGCCAAACTGCCATGGTTTGAGCACTATGCTAGGCCAGGATTCCAAGATGTCTCCACCACACATGAGCTTCCATATGATCACTCAATACTCCTTGAGAACCTCATGGACCCTGCCCATATCCCAATCTCACATGATCGAACTGATTGGACTGCAAAGAGAGAAGATGCCCAGCCATTACTTTTCAAGGTTACTGAACGGAGTGATAGGGGATTTGCAGGCCAATGGGGTAAAGAAAGGGATCAGGGGACCCCAAACTTTCTACAATTCAGTGCACCATGTGTTCTTCAAAACAACCGTGAGATTGTTGGCAAGAATGGTGAGAAAGACTATTTCTCTGCTCTCTTCCTTTGTCGACCAACAGGACAAGGGAAGTCTATGCTCATTGTAAGGTTTGGGGCCACTAGAAGATCCTTCCTAGCAAAATTGTTTCCAAAGTGGTATTTCCACCAGAATGCAGGTAAGGTTTTTGAGCAAGACATGGGGTTCCTCTCATCACAGAATGAGGTCCTAATGAGGGAAAAGGTTCCAACAAAGGAGCTGTATCTTAACCTGAAGTCCTCTGATACTTGGGTTTCAGAGTATAGGAAATGGATGGATAAAGTTGGGCATGGGATGCCTTATCATTTTGGTCATAGCACAATCTCACTACCTAAAGAGCCTGCTGTGGTGGAACATGCGCCGGCTGGGCTGGTTGCTGGATTATCAGCATCCTTACCGGCCAAGGGGGGTCTCGGAACAGTTCATTCTCCCAACCTGGCGAATCGATATTTCCGCCATGTGGTGCATTGCAAGGGATGCAGAAGTGTCATCCGAGCTTTCCAGGCTTGGAAAACTGCCCTCATTATCATGGCTATGGCTTCAACAACATTGGCCATTCTAGTGTCTGGAAGACAATGGAAAACTCTTCTTTTGGTTTTGACAGCTCTTTTCTTGACTGGAGCAAAATTATGCTCTTCTGCAATTGCAATGAACACAACAAACTTCATTAGACACCACAGGAGATTCTGAGGAAGGAGTTACTACTGTACACTTGTTGTATAATTACTGTTTTAATTTCTTTCCAATCCTTGTTTAGTGTAGATAAAATTACAGATATATTCATGTTACAGTCTTGCTGTATCAGGGTCATGATGGTGTATTCTGTCATGGCTCATTCTTGTTAGCGGATTCTAACAAAAGGGGTCACTTGCAACTGTGTCAAAAACTTCAGGGGAGCTTTCAGCAATTTACCTAAAATATAATAAATAACTTGACATTGTGCTATGTGTCAAAATACTTTACATTCTTAATTTCCAATGAATAGTTGAGATACAATTATTAAGGCTGTTTTTGATTGCAGTGTAAATTTATTAGCACTAGTACAAATGCATGGAAGTGCAAATGTAGAAAAGGAAAATTCTTATTTACTCTTGTTTTGGATTTTACTTTACTCTGCTTCATGTCTTAATTTACTTCATTTGTATTGCAATCAAACAAAATAAGCTAAAATTTGAAACAAAAATAAGTCAGAATTTACACTCAAATCATTTGCACTGCCATAATTTTGCATCAATGCAAATTTATTTGCATTGCAACCAAACACATCCCAAGGGGCAATTTGATAACACCTGAAATGGCTGAATTGAAAAACTTATTATTTTGCCTTTTAGTGAATAAATTTTTAAGGAGACAGTAAGATTTCTAATAGCTGAGGGTGAAGTTGGAAGAATACAATATCCTTAATTTAATATTTTATTATAAAGACAAAAGAACAAGTCATCCAGTTTAGCAACTTTGTTGTTATCAAATAGCCTCGAGGCGTAAAACACCATGGTACTAAACACCTAAATGATTCAAATTTCTCCATAATAGGTCTGCTATAGTTCAATGTTTATCTTAAGTCGGCTCTTGAGGTTGACGCTGAATATAAGGAATTAGTGACAACTAACAATTTTAAATAATAACAATAAGTATTATAATAAAATAATAAGTATTAATGGTAGCCTAATTTTCAGAGAAAGCACTAAATCACTAATGGTAGCCTAATGAGTGTTATGTATGGGTGAGAATAGGTCAGTTCTATACGGTTCCAGCAAGCTAGGGACCCGTTTCAAGTTTTTAGGACCAGAATCTATCCTTTTAAGATTGGTTTTGGTCTTAGTGGTTTTAGGGTCTATCCATGAATCTATTCTTCGGCTCAGTTTGGGAAGAGTATAAATGTAAATATGTACAGTATAAATACATACAAAATATAAGGTTTTGCACCGTATATATTTGCATCTGTACTCCTTCTAAATTGAACTTTCTTTACTCACCACCTGAAGAGAAACTGATCGTGTTTTTTAAAATTTGATTTTCTATAATTATAATAATGATAATATATAATTCAAAACTTATCATTATAATTTAAATTTGAAACCAAATCATACCAGGTATGATCTATGATCGGTTTAAGGCCAATTCAAAGTCGGTTTCATTCTTCTCTGGGTGTGACCTATCCATTTGCTCACCTCTAATATCAAGCAAAACTAATGTATATGATTTTGGATGGTTAAAAGTGCTCGGTAGTGAACCAACACCTATTAATCTTTTTTCGATAATTTCAAAAAAACAATATAATTTCACTGAGAGCAATTATTTTTGTTTGAAAACACAAAATGGTACATATCAACGAAAGCCCCTTTTAGATGCCGAAGATTGGTTTCAAAACATGTTCACGAGCAGCAGCAGAGTACCAATGAATCGATGGGGAGACACTCAGAACTAGAACTCCCTATCTGGGAACAAAAGGGGAGCAACCAGAGACCAGATATAAACAGCTGCAGTGGCCCAACCTGTCACAATCCGGACCCACACAGATGGCCACCCCACATCTACCAGTTTACCAATCTCTCCTACTGAGGTTGACCAGCCTGTTAGAAGCATTGCAGAATACATACTAGCAAGCGAGAAGATGACATGGAAGAAGGCATACGAGTATGTGGCTGGTCTACTTTCATCTTCCTCTTCTTCCTCCTCATCAGTCTTGTTCAAGGGAATCAAATGCTTCTCTTCACCTTTACCAGGTAAACAACAATGTGAGGGAAAAAAAAAAAGGAAAAGATAGTTGTGTGTGAAATCCCTGATGAATAGCCTTGTATTATCTAACATGTTCCCCATACAAAAGCCTATGGACTTTAGGTGTAAATAAATATAGGTCCATCTATACCTTGTACTGAAATTAATTAATTATAATGGAGGTCTTGTTCATTTTTACTTATTTGGGCAGATAAGTTTACGTGGGCAAGTGTTTCCCAGTAGAGATGAAAATTTCTACAACTCTACCCTATTCAGTGCGAACCCACCCCTACCCTCTCCAATGGAGTAGGTTTTATGGCTTGAAAGATAGGTTTTGGGGTTCTACAACCTATATGTGCACCGGTAGGGTATTGTATTAGGCTAAACTTGACCTCCCCCATCCATACATATTGTTAGAAAGCATATCAATTTTATGTACTAGGTGTTGAATATAATAATATTTTTATTTTATTTGAAGGGTAATTGATAGTTCATTTATTTTTTATATGTTTTAATTAAATAATTAGAAATTTTGTTGTTTATTTGTGCTATTTTACTTATTTATTACTTATACATGACAAGAAATAATAGGAAATGATGTGGGTTCTAACCCAACCTGCCTCTATCCTTAAATGCGGGGAGGGTAGGGTTGGGGAGGGTCTTTTATTTTCATATACAGGGAGGGTTTGGATTCTCAAAATCCAACCCGGTATAGGTTTTGAGGCAGATATGGGTTAAGAGGTATAGGGAGGGCGGGTAGGGTCTAGAATTTACAAAACCCTCTCCAAATCCACCCCATTGCCATCCCTTTTTCCTAGGTAAAACTTGTCTGAATAAGTGAGGTTCTTGCATTCTAGTGTGGTAAAAGTTATCTAGATAAAGAGAGGTGGGAGGGAGAGAGTGCTATCGGCATATGGGTAAATTGTTTATCCACCTCGTAGGAGGGTATTAGTTACCCAAGTAACTGATACTCTCTGGAATCTTTGGTTACCATTGGACCCAATATAGTGACAAATGAATGTGAGAATCGTGAACAATTTACCAGTTGACTAACTTACCCCCGCCCCCCACCCACCCACACACACACAACTAAATACCGACAAACGAATAGGGACAGATGGTAAAGACTGAACACTAGACCACTTGGTCAAAAGGACTCTGAAACAATCTCAATAAACCATTCAACTTAACAGCATAGGTCCCTGATTAGGCTTTCATTATTTAACATAAAGGGGGTGTTCTTTTGGATTTTGAGAGGAGACAAAGTTGGTCAATGGAATTTTGTTTCCCATTGACCAAGAAAAATCCCGTTCATTTTTAGATGTATGTGGGTATTAGGGAAAGTTTATTTTCTTGGATACACTTACCTGGGCAGGTAAATAACTTTCCCACATGGAGAAAGTCACTAACACTTGAATGGAACAAAAATACCCCTTTTAATAATGATTTTTTTATGACTAAAATGGTTATTGCTTTATTTACCTGAAAAATAAAAGAACATAGGTAAATGCACTTACCTGAATAATCTTTCCTAAGAAATACTTACCCAGATAAATGCATTTACTTGGATAAATAACTTACCAAAAAACAAATAGAGCCAAAAACTTTTCATCACTCTATAATACTGACCTACACGAGATAAAGTTGATTCCGAGAACAGTGATGTGGATGAGCCAGCACGTACAGCAGAGTAAACAACAGAGACAACAGTAGTAAGCAGCCCCAAAATAATTGTTCCAGTAGGAACGGTTTTGGAGTGTTGGTGCAAGCCATTGCACTCATAATCTCTTGGTTCACTGGCAAGCCCACTGTAGCAGAGGTATGTGCAGAACAATGATATAGCTGAAGCTGGAAAAATGCTGCCGCCAACCTATTTTTTAATCAATGAAACCATGAGAAAATACAGTATAAAACTATACTTGATGAATCAGCCATGTGCATGCAGATAGTACTCAGGGTGCTTTCTGCATCGTAACAACTCACTTATCATCATACATGTCTTATCCTAAGTATATGGAATGGCTACATGAGTCCTATTTCGTCAATCTGTTTTAGTTAGGATATCAATATATCGGATATTGATCCAATTAGATCTGATCTAAATGAATTCATTACAGATGGATTAGGTCTGATTCAACCTCATAAATATTTTGGACTGGACTGATCCAGTCCATTGACACCCCTAGTTCTATTTAATGTCATATCCATTGCTAAGTTATAAATGCTTAAATTATTTATTACTACTTCTACCCAAGTCATTTTTTGTCTATCCCTAGCCCTTTTTAGCCCCTTCAACTTCTAATAGATCACTTCTTCTAACTGTACAAGTGGAGAAAAACTAAGGCTTTGTTTGGTTTATGGGAATAGGGGTCTGGAATTGGAATCAGAATCCAACTGTTTGGTTGGGCAGAATTGTAAGTCCATTCCAATTCTTGCTGAAATGACATTCCCCCATTTGAGGGAATGGTCATTCCCTGCCTCTCCTTTGGGAATGAAAACTCATTCCTGCTGATTCCAATCCCATTCTCATTCTTATTTGAACCAAACAGACTATGGGAATAGACCATTTCAATTCCGATTCCGAAAGATTTTGATTCCAACTGCAAACCAAACAGACCCTAAACCTCATTCCACTACTAAATTAATATAGAAGCCGTATTTTGAAAGAACATAATATGCCATCAGAGGGTGTATATTCTACAAAATCGGGTTGATATTTCACTCCAATTTTGAGACAATGAACAAGGATTGTTGGATGTTGAATGGATAAATCTAGCCATCTTGATTGTGGGGTGTTCTAATGAAGCTATGGTGACCCTAGACATGTTTTCTGGTATTGCAACAAAAGTAGAGAAAGAGAGCAATTTCACATGGCCTTACTTTATCAAACATTCATTCAATGATGCTTTGTTAGTAGGAGATTTTTCTAATTTAACTACTTGTATCTGCCAATTCAGGGGCCCTTGGAGATCCACAAAAAATGTTGAGCAAATATCATCATCAAACAAAAAGATGCAAGGCACCTTGATGTACATGGAGTTGACGTAGAAACCTGGTAAGAGACTGGAAAAAAATTTTATGTGCATACCAATTAATTAAAAATAGTTCGAGTGTTGCAATCTAGATTTCTTACCCACAACTCTCTACCTGCCTTGTATTACACCACACATTGTCAATTTATTTTGGCTTCCTAGGGCATGGGTAGAGAAATTGAGTAGGAAATCGGGGTTCTCCTTGTTACAATTACAGTTTTTAATAATTTTACTATAAAGCTAAAACAAAACATAGGTAATAAACATGAGTGAGAATACTTCCAAAGCTGAACCCATCCCAAGTTGTGCTGGATTTAGCTTAGTTGCATATGGTGATGAAAACACAATTAGGCAATTAAAACTATTACACAGAGTAGGTTTGCATGCAATCCCAGGTGTTAAGCAGGGATCATTGCTTGGTGTGTTTATAAAAAATCTTGGACCGACAAGCATGAGAAAATAAGTTGAAAGTGTAAAAGCAGTCATTTATCTAGTCCTCTCTCTCACAAGACCACCAAATGGTTTGCATCAATATTGGGTAATAGTCATTTTTTTACAGAGAAGTACGGATACACCCGATGCAGAATTCTGAATTCCAGCCCCCCTACTATTGGCCCTCTACCCTCCTATAAACCACATCCTGTCTGTGAATTTGGCATCAATTCATGGTCAGGATGCATTCCCCCTGTACTATGGGGCTATAAAATTCTGATCTGGGCATTCTCCCTTTTTTTTACTCTAAGGTGTTTTTTATATTTGATATAGGTAAGGTATTTGGACGTCATCCAAATCAAAACCAATTTAAACAGGTTGGACAGTTCAATTAGACATATTGCTTTGAATCCGTCCAGACTTAATGGTCCAAAGTATTTATTGTATTGGATTAGACCTTATGCATTTGTAATAGATTAATTTATTATTGGATAGGTCAGGTTGAACCATTATATATCCAACCCATTAACAAAACATAAGGACGAAATCTAAATTAAAATCAATTTGATCATGTCCGACAGTCAAAAAAAAAAAAAAAAAAATTGGATTGGACCTGTACTCCAGTTTAATATATATATATATATATATATATATATATATATATATATATCTGATTGGATCAAACCTAATCCATCTATAATGGATTCATGTTGGATCAGATTGGGTGGACCAATATATGATCCATTGATAGCCCTAACTATGGGACACCTGATCCATCTATAATTCCACATGACTCCATTATATCATTTTATATTGGTTTTTCATAGGACTAACTTTGAACCAGTAGCTCAGGCAACATTAAAGGCGTAGAACACAAAACCTTATACTTTGTATTATTTTATATGTATTTGCATTCTATATATTTATATTTGTTCTCTTTCAAAGCGAGCCAAAATGTCTTAATATGAATTTGTATTTCAATGACAATTTTTATTCTTAAAAAGCAATGAAAAAGAAAAAGGGGAATCATTACCGCGGGATGGAGTGCAACAATTGCAAAGACAAACACAAAAATCAGGGTAATAACAATAAAGAAAGTGTTGAGCCCACAGTCATGTCCGGATGGAGTGAACCAATGAAAAAGCAGACCCGAGAAGGAAAATGTTGCCACGTAGCCAGCAAGTGAAACAACAGACAAAGCTATATACCTGCACCCACATAAACACCAAAATTCTCAGACACATCAAAGAGTCCCCTAGAAATACGCAAAGGATGAAAACCTAGACACCACCATTAACATGTGATGAAGCTGAGAAGTTGCAAGAACAAACCAAAATTGTTCATCCTTTCTGACCCATCTGTCATTCCATCCATGAACAAAATCCAACAACATAACCACTTGAACCAGAAGAAACAATCCGGATCCAAATTTTGATACAGTCTCTGCATTTACAAAATTAAATTCTCAGCTTACTCCTACGAGAAAAAGAATTCAAAGAAACTACATCAACTGATAAGAAGACACAAAAAAAAAAAAAAAAAAAGATGAACTTTCACGTTACTCCAAAGGAATTTCTGGGTGGAATATAATTACTCAACTCAACTCAACTAAGCATTATCCCAATTATTCTGAATAGAAACTTCTATTTGATATTAAAATTTATTCAAGAAGTGTAAACGTTTTTCTTGATAAACATAAATAGATAAGTTTCCGTTCGATCTAAATATACCTACCTATGCCAACTGCTTTGTTGGTAATAAGATTTTCAACTGCTTGTAGCGAAGACTTGTGATTGAATCCCGCTTGTGTAAGTAGTGTCATTAAAAAAAAACTTCTTAATCGTAGTTTATATCAATGTTTTCAATTCGAGGATGAATTCGACATTTGGATTGATTAATTGGTCACTCGATCAAAATTTTGAATATATTTTGGCTTAACCCACTTTGTTGTGAAACATATTGACTTGGCCATCAACCAGATGACCATACAAGTTGAACCTATGGCCTATTTAATTAGACTAGCATGCTATAAATAAGATATTTATTTTCTTTTTTATTTGTATTTTGGCCATTTCTATCATTAATAATAATAATTCTCTTTTGTCAAGCAATTTTCTGTTTAATATGACAAATATAATATTAAAGATATGCTCAATTTTTTTTATAAATTTTATAACATTTTTTTTATTTTTATTATTTAATTTATGACATCATAAGTTAACTTGTTTGGCTAAGAGGGAAATGTGATTTCAATCAATTTTTAAAGTAGTGTCATTTTATGTTTTTTATATATCTTGAGGTCAAAGTAACTGATGAGAATGGTTGAATCATCTCTCGACCAGGATTTTGGGCCAATTTACCACCAAATTGCATGGCTATAAAAAATCATTGACTTTGTCAATTTGGTGACTTAGCTAACCAAAGCATTTAACCATTTGACCTGATTAGGAGGTCATGGGTTTGATATTAATTGTATTTTTTTCCTTACTTTTGTATTTCATTTTCATCATTAAAAAATAATTTTTATTTATTATATTTATTTTTAATATTTTTTAGTTATCCCAAATAATCTCTCAATGAAGGGCAGTCACCATGCAATGTTATTAATATCCAAAGAAATCCTCTGAATGGGACACAAAAAGCTTAACTCTCTAAGAGCTAAACAAAGATTTCAAAAAAAAAATCTTTATTTTCTATATTATTGTCTATTTTTAAGTTTAATATGTAACTATGGCATCATGAGTTAGACATGTTTAACCAAGATGGTCTGACAACTTACTCATCACCTAAAGAAACAATTTAGTTTTTAGATTGATTTTTAAAAATAGGCTTCTATATTATTAAAATTTCTGTTCATAATTTAATTTGTGGAACTAATAATAAAAAACAAGATACGATTCAATAAGAGTGAATGAGAGTTAATATCTTATATATGGGAGTTAATGAAAGGGAATATAATGAAATGAAGAGTGGTATTGAAGTTGCAATTTTTACCCTTACAATAGAGTGTGACCAATTCAAGAGGGCTATTTTAGTCAAGAAAAAGTTTAAAAGCCACAGGGAGCTATTCACACTTTTATAATATATATATTATTATTATTATTATAGACATAGATTGGCACAGTGTTTTAGACTTAGAATGTAGTAAACTATGATGGCCCTTTTGTGTGTTGCTCATACAAAGTGACATTTGTTTTTAAGGGACATAACATTTTAGGTAGACGGCATAAAACTTTTAAATGTTAAAGCTTAGTTCCAGTTTAATGCTTCCAAGTTCCAAGTTAGCCAAGTTAGAGATTAAGGCTCCTGAAGGAAAAAATAGAATATTCTCGAATATTCTTCTCTTTCACATGTTTGGTTTGTGAGATGTCATAAGATGGGATGGGAAAAATTGGGATTATACATCTCAAATGTTTTGGATGTGAAATCCCACCATATTAGTGGAAAAGGAGGGAGAAACTTGTTTAAAAGAAAAAAAAAAGCACCTTCCTTTTAGTATTTTTAAGAGTTAATATTAAACCATGACTCATTAGTGAATTATTAATTATTAAATAAGATTAATAAAATAATAAATTAAAATTAACTAATAAAAATATTAACCTAATCCAACCATTTGGGTCAAATGAGTCAACATATGCCATAATCAAATAAGAAAAACTTAAAAATAGAAAAAATACACAAGACAAAGAAATTTTATGAAAATTTTGGGTGCTTTAAATAAAAACAAGTATGATAAACAAGAAGTACATTTATTAATTAATGATGGAATTAGAATATAAATATTTAAAATTGGTTGAAAATTAGCATTTTCCAATGTAGGTGGCAGGTTTCAACCTCTTGGGTCAAATGGGAATGTCATAAATACAAAAGGTACAAAAAGTTATAAAGTAATTTTGATTACATCTCTAATATTATATATTAAACATATTAAACAAACATAAGTGTTATAAATAACAATCATGTTTATTAATGTGTAAAATGAAATCCAAAATTTAAGGGGTTTTTATGATTCAGTTTAACCTTAGGATGGAGCTAAGATTTCTAGGAGTGGACTGAATCCTACCCATGGATTGATGTCAAATTCATGGGCAAGATGTCGTTTATAGGGGGGTTAGGCTAGAGGTGTAAACCAGGCCGTGCCGCTTGCGGCCCAGCACAGCTCGACACTAACTTGGACTGGCCCGACGCGATTATGCGGGTCGTGCTAGGCCTGGGGTTTTAGGTCCATAGGCCGGCACAACATGACACGACCAAGCGAGCCGTGCCACCCATAGCCCGGCCCAGCATGGCCCCGCGGCATGGCCCATATATATTATTTATATACATTATATATATTTATATAATATTATATAAATTATAATTATATAATAATATATAGTATATAATATATTAATAAAATAAATAATTTTTTTAATTTTATTATACTAATTTATTTAGTTATTGTATATATAAGCAATTGTATACACACAATTCATACAAAATTAAAATTTTAAGTTTTTTTGTCAATTTTTTTAAATAAATAGCTTTGGCCCGATACATGACTCGACTTGACCCACAGGCCTGGGCCGTGGGCCGTGCTGAGTCGACCCCCAAATTTTTCATCGGGGAGGGTGGCATGACACAGGCCCGCACGGGTTTGGGCCATGGGTCGTGCCGGGCCGACCCCAAAAATTTTCATCGGAGAGGGCAGCACGGCTCGTGGGCCAGCACTACTTTGTGCGGGCCGTGCCATGCCGGTTCGACACGACGCACTTTACACCTCTATGGGCTACTAATAAACTAGGAGAGGGCTGCAAATCAGAATTCTGTGGTGGAGTGCAGTCTAAAAATCCCAATTTAAAATGGATTGGAAGACAAAAACATTTGCATATCTAGGTGGTAGATCAATGGTCTAATCTTTTGGGTTTTTGTGAATAGGTCAACCAAAGATGCCAAATGGATCTAATCTTTTTGACACATCTCTAATTTTATATATTCATGACATTAAACAAAAACAAATGTAAAAATAAGAATTGCTTTTATTAATAATAGAAATGAAAAACAAAATTTCAAATCAATCCCAAAGTAACTAGTTTTTCAATTCAGGTAGTGGGTTAGCGGTTTAATTGTGTAGGTGAAATGGTTTTACCTATGATGTGATAATTAAAAAATAAAAGTGTATTAAAATTCTAGAAAATATAAATATTTGTAGAAAATTTCTAGCGAATATCTAATTTTATACATTTAACATATTGAAAAAATGTATGAAAAATAAGAATTACTCTTTTTAATGATTGAAATATAATATAAAGATGAAAAAAAGAAAAGAGAAATAATGTCTAAGCTGCAACCCCACTAACTAGGTTAAATAGTTAGTGGTTCAATTAGATAGATGACCACGTTGTTGTTGTTGTTAGTAACAGTAGTAGTTTATTATGATAAACATTGCATGGTTTTCAAAATTGGACTGGACCGGTTCCCGTTTTTCCTCAAAACCGTTGATTTTGGTCAGTAAACTGCTGAATCGGATGGTTAACTGTTCGAATTGTTAGAGCTTTTTGAAAGGTTTTAACTGTTTTTTAATTTTTTTGTTATTTTTGTCAAAACAGACCGGCCATTCGGATCAAAYGGTAGGACTGTTCAAACTGATAACCGGACCACTAACCGGTTCGGTTTTAAAAACCATGAAACATTATCATCATTTGAAATTAACGACATACGTACTAATATAAACTACTTACCATAAAAGCTGGCAATTCCATTCGGTAGGAAAAACATAAAAATTACTACAAGACACCAGCTAACAATTTTTGTCATCYATCCACCATGGTGCAAGCGATCACGAGAGTCCTCATCCTTGATTCCTATCATCAGAACAGCTAGGATGGTGAAGAACAGGAAGTTCCCTAAGTTCACCCGTAGCACTGCATCTGTTTCAAACCATTCCTTGTTTGGAGTTTGTTGGAAATTATGATCGATCCCTGCACAGGCAATTGGGAAAGAAAATTAAAAAAAAAAAAGGTAAAATGTACGTATAACATTTTTAAACATCAACAGATTCTAAAGTTTTTCTAAAAAACCATTTTTATTTCCCAAGGACTATATTTTCCCTAAAGCCACTACAAATAAACCCATTCAAATAATTAATGTGAATCTACTTGTAAGAAACTTATTAAATCCAATCTTAGCCTTTGACAAAATCCCAAAAACTACATCTTTCAATTTTCTTCTTTTTGATTTTGAGAAGGAAAAAGTTGGTCAATGGGATTTTGGTTCCCATTGCTCAATATATCCATGTTAATTTTTCAGATTTATGTGATGGGATATTTATTTTCTTTAGGCCATTTCCCAATTGAATAAATAACTTTCCCACTTCTGAATAGGACAAAATTGTCTCTTTTAATAATAATAAATGGTTTTTTATGATTAAAATAGTCATTGTCTTATTTACTTACCCTCGATAATTAATTTCCCCAAACGACACCTAAAATTATACTTCATCCTATGCATAGAAGCAAAATTTTGTAGACCTTTAAACATTGTCTTGCCAAGCATGCTCTTTCCTGTTCTTCCCGTGTAACTTTAACTTGGTCTCTACCTCCTGGCTTCCTGATTCCTAGGCGTTTCAAAAAAAACATAAAATAAAATAAAAATTGTTAGCCAAAAAGCCAAACCCTCTAAAAGCCAAGTAGACGAAAATCTAAAGATTTTTTCTCAGAACAAACTGTGTACAATCTCAAAATCTAAAAGCCGAGGCTTACATGGGTGGTTCTCCATGGGAGGAGCAGCCACCTCTCCAAGAATCCATGACACAATCAGAGACAGAGCAAAGAGCCCACAGTACGCAATCCGAGCGGAGAGCCTGACACAAGAAGCTCCAGACATCGTCCTCTACGTCACCCCTCACTGTGTAACATCCAATGATCCAAACAAGGAATAAACAAACTTCATCAAGAATCACAAAATTTGATAGAAAAAGAGTTGAGAGAGAAAGAGAGAATTTTGCTTGAATCATAAAGGGAAGAAATCGTCTCCAGAATCCATTTCAAAGAAAAAAAAATTCGAGAAAGAATCAAACAGACACCTCTGTTACCAGAGAAGGAATAACAAGAGGTGACGAATAACAAGAGAGACCTCCGTTTCTCTGAATTTAAATTTGGTCTGCTAAAGGTGATCCGAATTCGATCGGCCTATAATTGGATCCGACCCTGTACCTCATCCTCTGCAAAATTAACAAATAAGTAAACATACATATAGCGCACCCCTCTCATTAATTTTCCAGGAAGATTATGACTCTTTCCTTGGATTAGAAAAGTATGCGTTTCAAATTTTCAACTTTGTCCTTCACAACACGATTCAATTCATCCACATGCATGTATTAAAACACAGGGTGAGGTCCCTGCTGAACACCGTTGTCACATAAAAGCCTATCGGTAAGCATGGGCAAGAATAAACTCAATCATGGTTTTTGCTGAAATTCAATTAAGCCCTCTTTCATGATAATCATGTGGTTGTTAAAAGTGCATGAGTATTTTTTAGAATTACTTATTTTAACAACCACTTAAGATTGTTTGATGATTCATTTGTCAAATCACTTATTATGTTTTTAAACACTTATTGGGATGATGATGTTTGGTAAGCTATTTTCTCCATAAGTGCTTATATTGACACAAATGACAATTTTAATCCTCTCACCCCACCCCCACCCAATGATTAGCCCCTCAAAAGTAGGGGTGGATTCGAGCCGAGTCGAATAGTACCAGGTTCAAGTTCGGCCCAAGACTATTTTACAAGGCTTGAGCTCGTGCATCGAGTCAAAAATTCATAAGCTCGAGCTTGATTTTGAGAAAAAATATTTTATAAAAATAAAAAATTATATATAAAAATATTTTTTATTTGATATTTAAAAAATTAAGAATTATAATATTTTTATTATATATATATATATATATATTTGAGCCGGCTCGCAAGGTCTAGTATGCTCAAGCTTGGCTTGTTTAATAATTGAGCTAGTGAATTGGGCTTGAGCTCGAGCTTTTCACGAGCCGAGCTTGAGCAGCTCGTAAAAAGCTCGATTCATTGCCACCCCTACCTAGAAGCCCCATCCATGTTTATTCTGCCATCCCCATTCATTTAATTAGGTTTTGCCCCCATAAAAAAAATTTTGGCTCCTCCCCTATCAAAGATTATTGAGCTTGCCTCTTTCAATCGAAAATTGATCACATTTTTTTGAGCCCATTATTTTGTAAAATATAGTTGCTTTTGGTTAATAGACTTTTGATGCAAACCGTATAATCATTGAATTATTTGAAGTGGATAACCATTCACAGAATGATAACTATTTTTTATAATGTAAATATTTTGTTATATTTATTATGATGAATATCATGGTTTTAAACCATCATTGACCTGGACGGTCGGACCACTAGACCCAAAAACCATCAAGGCAATCGGTTCCATTTCACCCTTAACCCATATCTTGGCCAAAAACCCTTGACTTGGTCAACGATCCACTGACTTGGATGGTCAAACCATTGACATGTTCGACTTGAATAACGGTTTGTTGCCATTTTTAAATTTTAATTATTTTTTATTTTTGATTTTTTTAATTGGAATGGGCCATTCATTCRAACCAAACAGTTAAACCACTAACCTAGAAATTGATGGCCAAAGCGGTTCTGGTTCTAGGTTGATTTTTAAAACATTGATGAATATCATAAGTGAATCCATTTCAAACCAATGGTTGAACCACTAACCTAGAACCCAAAGGCATAAATGGTTCCAATGGGTTAAGGTTAACTTCATTAATTAGGTTAAGTAGGGTAACTTAATTTAACATTGATTAATTACATTACTTAATTTAAATTCATTTAACTTAATTGAATGAACTAATTAGGATAGTTATGTTACTCAATTTAATTAGGTAATACTTTAATTAGCTAATCAAATAAATTATTTATTAATTAGTTAACTTTAACTCAATCCAACCTGTCCAAACCCATTAATCTTATATTTATGGACTTAAAAAACAAATTAACTCTCTCTTAACAAATAAGTTGGTCATATCTTAGTAGTAATTGTAGTTACTATTTACACAAGTGGTGAAGGTTTAAATCATATTAAATGCATGTTATTTTTACACAAGCGGCGAAGCCATTTATGTTTGGATTTCGGGTTTGACCGAACCACTTAGGTTCAAACCGGTCAGACTAACTTGAACTATCTAATCGGATTATCTTCGAGCTAATCACATCAAGGGTGATTGAACCGTTTAGATCTAGATCAGTCCGGTCAGACCGAACTAGACCGGTTCAATTAATGGTGGATTGACTTAGACTAAACCATATTAGGTTTGTGCACAGGTTTGGGACCAAACCGATTGACCCAAAGTGGGTCAACATAAATAAATAAGGTCGGCCCAGATTCGGGTTGGGTTGTGTGGATATTGGTCAGGCAGACGGTCCAAATCGGGTAAAGCACGTGGACACCAAATCATCCCGCCCGAAACCGTTTCGAATTTGGGTCGACCCGCATCGGCTTGCATCAGGTCAGGTTGGGCTATGTGAATGCTAGTTGGACCAGACGACCCAAATCGGAAAGAGCAAGTAGTGTCGAACCATCCTGCCTGAGGTCTATTTAAGATTCGGGTTGACCCGGATCAGTATATGCTAGATCGAGTCAGACCATGTTGAACTTGTTTGGACTCAGGTCAAATTGATTTGGATTTATGTTGGGTGAAGTGTGTTGATTCAAGACAAAACTAAATTTATCAATAATTAATAAAAAATTAATGCATTAATTATAAATTATTTAATTCAAATGAAGAAAATAAAAAAAAAGACTAAGGAATTAATACTTGTGCTTGTAATGGTTAACCCAATGGTTATCCACAACCTAACCCAACCCAACCCATTTAAATGGGCGRGTTGGGTGATAGGTTGATCACACAACCCGCCAAGTAAATGAGTGGATTGGGCGGGTTGGGTGGATTGAGTGAAAAATTTCCACCCCTAATCACACATCTTATCATGAAACTGGGGCTCATCATAAAAATGGGATCTACCATGTATGAGATGTGAGGTGTTGGACTATGTTGATAGAGGGTAGGAATGTGTTTTGTTGGCAGGTGATCCGGACTCGAATAATGCATCCCCTCTATAATTGCAGTGTTGGGATAATAGATTATGACAGTGAGGATTGAATGCTATACAAACCATTCAACCTAAAAGTTCAAGGTGTCAAGTGAGACTCCTAAATAGGATTTTATTCTCTAATAGTATGAACCAAATTAATTAATAAATCTATTTAAATAAAGTGAATCACCATTTTTGGATAATTTGATAAATCTTTGTCCTAGGAAAAGTTTTCATGGGCAAGAGTGGGGTTTTCATGAATTTAAAGCATCATGTCAATGCTTTTCCTCGGTATATAAACTTCATGTGAGGGCCGAAGGTCTCTATAGACATCAAATACAAAATAGGTTAAAATACCAGGAAAGCCAATGGAGGTTTTAAGTAGTTTTCCTCAAATCCGTTATATCATCATCATCATCTAAGCCTTCCTTTTATCAACCATATTGGGTCGAGTAAATGAATCCTATTTCATTATTCCTTGAGTATCATATCCATTATTAAATTATGGGCACTTAAATAATTGTTATTACTTTCATCCAAATCTTTTTAAGTCTATTCCTAGATCTTTTAGCCCTTGTAGCTTGTAACAAATAACTTTTTCTAAGAGATGCTATAAATAATCTTATATGCATATGCATGTGATCAAATCATCTCAATTTAATCTACTTTTTCTCATTTTATTATTTATTAGGGCTAAAATTTATGTTGTAAAATCATCTCAATTCAATCTACTCTTGATATATGTAAAAGAACGTCATTTTCAGTTCATTTAAATCATGATATAGAATACCAAACACATTTTTAGTTCATCATTGTCATCATCCAAGGCCTTATATTACCAACAATATGGGGTCAGTTACATGAATCGTCTCCATTCAATTCTATTTATAATGTCATATCCATTATTAAATTATGATCCTCTTCAAACCCATGTCTTTTTTCGAGTTAGGATTAATTGAATACGATAGCTGTTCATCAGCAGTCTGTGGAACCAATGATAAAGCCCTACACTAGTCATAAAATAAATGAGGCACACAGCCGTTCAACCTCTCATTATGGGCCCCATGTATTTTATGGCTGATGTGGGGTAAATTGGTTACTGCTCCTCACACAGGGCGCCTCACAATGACCTCACAGGCACATCCCACCGTGCATTGGGAACATCTCCCATAAATAATAGCATATAAGTACAGAAGATGTTCCCAATGCACAGTGGAATGTTCCTGTAAAGTCGGTGTGAGACACCATGTGTGAGGAGCAGATCCAGTCTTGTGCRGGTCATGCATTATCATTGATTCCATAGCCTGCTACACAGCCATGGAATTCATGTAACCCAAATTAGTCTTTTCTTATTTTTTATATTTACTCTTAGCCCTTATAGCCCCCTGAACTTTTGAGAGCAAATCTGCCTCCCACAACGTCCCACAGCACATTCAAGCTGTGTATTGARAACATTTCCTGATGATGATACCAGAAATAATGATGCCATCATCRGGAGATATTCACAATACATGGCAGGGATGTACTGTGGGACGTTGTGGGGGCAATCTGGTGGGGGGCTGATTTGAGCTCTCAACTTTCTTATAGGTGCTGTCAATGTTATTCTATATGCACCACATGACCAAATCATCCTAATCTACTTTGATTTTATCACCTTCTGGAGATACCCTAGGTTCCTTCCAACAATAACTTCACTTCTAGCCCAATCCTTTTTAGGTTTCCCCACTCATCTCAATGGACTTTCTACCAACA